CTATAAAAGTTTGCACGCTCACATTTTTTTGTTACATGGGCTCTGTGGACAATGGACAATGGATTTAAAACTATTATGATGGTGAAATTCTTACTTTCAGCTTCAATTGTAGAGTGTTAATAACCATATTATAGTAACAGTAGAGAAATTGTTGCTCCATCATTGTTATTACTTCACTGTTGAAAAATTGCAGCTTTGTAAAAAAAGATGAGTCACACACCTGAGGTGAGCAGCATCGAAGTAAATGCCCTCAGACACCCTATAAATCTGAAAGTCAGCACAATCTCACTTATTGTTTCATTTGAACTCAATTTAGTACAGAACATGTACACTGCCTCAATACCGCACACAAAACTACGACTCCAGTAATAGTTGTGGAATTGAATTGTCTCCCAGAAAAAAAATTGCATGATTCATTCAGAAACCACTTGCATTCAAGGCCAGTGCACAAACATGCTGTTATAATGATAATCATTGACAATCTGATGGATCATCATCTGATTCTGATACCAGGACTTTGCCTTGACCGAAACAGATTACAGATCCAATACTAGTGCATTTAAAAAACTTGTAACGTATTTTAACGTTGTATTGAAGTGATGATTGGTGTCGTAGTGTTGTAATTGGCCACACTGGTGACACCCCTCAAAACTGAAATTTTGCCGAACTGCTGATATCTTAGCTGTAGCTCCACAACCAGAAATCACTTCAGTCTGTAGGCAGTGCAGAAGATTGTAGTTTAATCTTGGTGAAACTAAAACACTTTAAAGACAAGGTGTTGGATCGATACATTTACACACTTGTGATGCCCAACACAGACATTCATGGTGTATTTCAGTCCAAGGCACTGCAACATGAGGATCTGTCCATATGAACAACTGTACATTTAGGAGGGATCATCCCTTTACAAATGGAATTTAAATTTGTTTCAGAAAAACTAATTTCAGTACTTTAAAAGTGTTACTCTCGTGTCCAAAACGCCAGCACGTCAAATCATCAAGTTTAAAATGTGGAGTGGGACTCATTGTAATTCCCCCACAAGGAAAAAAAGATGATGTTTAAGGAAGGCAGAGACAGATTCCATCAGGACGGAGGCATGATGCTCCATCCCTCTTGCCGTGCTGCCTGTATCAAAGCTATTATTCTTCAGGAGTGGAGAGGGTGGGCACAACAATAACAACAACAAGACGGTAATGGAAATGGTGAAATTTGCACAGACTTGGAAGAATAATGAAAGTGCAGAATGCTTATTGAGACAGCCACATATTTTCTCCCTATCTCATCAAACACACACACACACACACAATGGACTGCAGGGAAGCAATCTCCAGGAACATGGGGAATCGGGAGGCTTCATTCTAGCCCACCTGACAGTGCATCGCCTCTAGCCTGATGAAATGGCAGAGTCAGTGAGCTCTGAAGGCCATTAGATATTTTAGGTGATGGCCTGCACTCCGTGTCCCCCTGACGCACTTTTCTCGCACTATAGTTGGGATCAGGCAGAGGACATGAACGCCATTAGGCGTCAGAGTCAGCCAGGCAGGCAGCGAGGCAGGCAGACAGGCTGATAAGCGTATGTTCGTTTTATAAGCCACGGCTGGCTCAAATGGGCTGAAGAGGAAAATTAGGATTCTGAGTGTTTTTTTTTTTTTTACTTGCTCCCCCCCCCCCCTGCCTCATTCACGCAGTTTCACTGTGCGTTTTTGTCTCTCCCTCTATTCACAGCCATGGTGTTTCTCACAAGGTCAGGTGTGGAGACTACCCTGCCTCTCGCTGCTTGGCACCTTCCGCTCTTCCCCTCATCCACCTCTCCTCGCTCTGTTTCTCTCTACCTGTGCCACCCTCCCCCCCTCACACACCTCCATTTTTAGTTTCTCCCATCGCTTCTTTTTTTCCCCACCTACTTCCTCTCTCACTTTTAATTTCCCCTTTTCTCCTCTCTTTTGTCCCTCAGCTGTCTTCTGTTAACATTGTTTATAGCTCCCACCGTCTCGCTCACCGAGATCCTCCTCCTCCTCTCCTCTCCTTTTCTCTCACCACTTTCTCTTTTTCACTCCCTCTTTCATTCTCTATTCCTGGCACTGCGTTTTCTCTTCACACTCTTTCATCCCCACTTTTCCTTGCACTTCAACCCCCCCACCCCCACTCCTCCACACTCATCCTCCATCACTTTGGCATTCCCATGCTGTCTGCTGTCTCTCTCCTCCTTTCATCCTTCCTTCCTCCCCAGCACACTTCCTCTCCTTCATTCCTTCCTTCCTCATTCATTTTTCCTCTTCACAGACGAATGGTGGGAAATATGGAAATGTCAGTGTGACCAGGCAGGGGATCAGAGAGGGCTGTCGCAGTGCTATCAGCGTAGTGTGTGTGTGTACGTGCATGTGCGTGCACATCTTGTGGGTTTTAAAGACATGATGATAGGTGACATGACTGAGGATGGTGACATTTGACTACTTGAGGATATTAAAGAGGGCAGTTATGTGTGCATGCATTTGTTGTTTCGTTTTCGTTGTGTCTTTGGTTCGGTAGCGTTTCCTGTGTGTGTCACCTGCAGGCAGCAGCACTACTGTAAAGTAGAGCAGCGGCGACACGAGGCTTCTGTTCTCACTCTCCTCCCCTCCAACCCTCTCTTTCTCTCCCTCTGTCTTTCTCCTTCCCTCTCTCCGCCGCGCCTCCTTTCTTCTCACTTTTACCCTTGAACTGTCTTCCATCTCTAATTCCCTCAGTTCCCGTCTCTCTCCAACTCCGTCTTTCTCTCTTCCATTTAATGTGAACAATGTTCTCTCAATATTTATACTGACAATTGCTATTTCAAATGCAACAATGCTGTTGTGTCAGTGTATGTGCACGCACATGCTGACTTTTCCGCCATTCTAATAACAGAGTCTCTGGGTCTGGGGACAGTGATAGAGGATGGGGGCATGCATGTCTTTGTGTGTCTTGTGTGTAATATTCATTTCCCTGGGGCTATATGGAGTCTCATAGGGCCAGCCTGTCTCTCATCTGAGCTCTGGCAGGATTTGACCTGTGTTGCTCTGCTCTTATTGCCTCAGAATGACAGCCAACCGGGCCTGGCTCGTCTCTGACCCCATATCGTGTGCGGACACAACAGCTGTACATGTGTGTGAATTTGCACACATATGCACACAAGTGAAATGGAGCAGAGTAAATTCAGTGCTGCTTTGTAACTTGACATGTCAGGCTGACTCTTTCCATAAACCTGATTCAAGAGAAGTAATCAAGGGTTTTAGTAATCCTTTATCTCCGCTATTTCTCCCCCTACTTAAATTCAGCTCCCATTCCCAAAGGTAATTTCTTCAGATGCTGAAGCTCCATCACAGTCCCCTTAAATTAACTACATCCAGATTTTTATTTGGATCTGCAGCATTAACACACTCATAAATATCAGTCCTGATTATTTTCTGAGGAATTAACGAATATGTTGCAAAACATCCTACAATATCTTGCAATGTTAAAGTGCAAAAAAATCCTGGATCCGCCCCCTGATCCATATCCACACCAAAATTGAATGGGATCTTCCCTGACCCACACCACATCCTCCTACCAAGTTTCATGGTGATTGGTCCAGCAGTTTTTGTGTTATCCTGATAACTAACAGACAGACAAACGAAACGAAAGCATAACCCCGAAAAGCCAGGAGCTTGACAATAAAGTCGTCATGAGTTAATGAATATGCGAGAGGTCGTGATTCTTTGCACAGATATGCTCATTTTATGAGTGTCCAAGAGAGAAAGTGAGTGAGCTGTTCCTGTTTCCAGCCCCACATGGCTCTCTGCTGCTCCCACAGGCAGCTCAGTGGTTATCCAGAGGTTCCTCTGCGGCTACAAGGGGGTTGTTTTGTGGTTGTAAATTGGGCTGGTCCTGGGAGAACTAGTGTTATTCTAGGAAAGGCTTGTTTTTCCTCCACTTGCCCACTCGTGTCTTTCGCTCATTCCTCCTCTTCCTCCGTATTGATATCTCAAAACTCCCAAGAGAACAGAAGGTTTGGTGTTTATTGCTCGTCAAAAGACAGCGCTGCCCTTTCCCCTTATCTCCTAGCCTATGGGTTTCGTGTGGGTGTGCGTGTGTGTCTGTGTGTGTTCCATCAGCCCTGCGGATCATATTAGTTTCAACACAAACAGCTTTGGCTCAGCACAAACTGGTGGAACTAGTTCCTCCAGTAATTGTTTGTCTTTAGGGGAAATAGTTTCATTGGTACTGGTGTAGGTGTGTAGCCTGCT